AACTAAAAGGTTTTGAACCCAAGGTTTCTACTAATATTCTTAAGGTTTTACTGCCTCCTATATGTTCTCAAGCTGTAGAAAATAGCAGGTATTATTTTAGAAATACGTGCTAAAAACACAGAAAACAACTTGTATCTCACTCACTAAAGAATTTATTTATATATATATCAATGATTTGGGGTAAAGTTTAACCTGTGAGGAGGAATGCAAGCTGTAACAAGTATAAGGTTAGGCAACAAAGGAATATGAAGGATAAAAGGGCAAGCATTCTATACCATATACAGAAACTCAAAATGAATCAAAGACCTAAAGGTAAGACCTAAAACTATAAGTTAGAAGAAAACATAGGAAAAAGCTTTATGACATTGGATTTGGCAAGTATTTCTTGAAAATAACGCCGAAAACACAGGCAACAAAAATAAAACTAGACAAATTGGACTAAATCAAAACACTAAAATTTTATGTGTACCAAAGGATACAGTCAACAGAGTGAAGGGGCAATCTACTGAACAGGAGAAAATATTTACAAATCATGTATCAACAATAATATTAAAAATGCAAATAATGCACAAAAGACTTGAAAAGACACTTCTCCAAAGATGACACACAAATAGCCAACAAGCATATGAGAAGATGTTTAATACCACTAATTATTAGGAAAATGCAAATGAAAACCACAATGAGAAATCACCTCACATCCATTAGGATGGCTACTATCAGGAAAACTTGGAAAACTGCAAGTATTAGTGAGGAGGTTAAAAAAAATTGGAACCCTTGTGCAGTTTGGTGGGAATGTAGAATTGTGCATAAGCTATGAAAAACAATATGACAATTCCTCTAAAAATTAAAAACAGAATGAGCCTTCTTGTTGTTGTTCAGTCTCTAAATTATATACGACTCTTTGCAACCCCATGGACCACAGTACACCAGGCCTCTCTGTCCTCCACTATCACCAGAGTTTGCTCAGATTCATGTCCATTGAGTTGGTGATACTATCTAACCATCTCATTCTCTGCCACCCACTTCTCCTTTTGCCTTCAATCTTTCAAAGCATCAAGATCTTTTCCAATGAGTCAACTCTTTGCATCAGGTAGCCAGAGTTTTTCCAATGAATAGTCAGGATTGAATATTCAGGATATTCCAATGGATATTTTTCCAATGGATATTCCTTTAGGATTGACCCTAGGATCCAGCAAGTCCATGTAGAGGTATATACTCAAAAGAATTGAAAGCAGGGTCTCAAAGAAATATCTGCATATTCATGCTCATAACAGCACTACTCACAATATCAAAGAGATGAAAGCAATTATGTCCATAAATAGATGAATGGATAAATAGAATGTAGTATATACATACAATGGATATCACTCAGTCTTCAGAAGGAAAGTAAGTCTAACACACACTACAGCATGGATAAACCTTCAAGACTTTATGCTAAGTGAAATAAATCAGTCAAAAAAGACAAATACTGCATGATTTTACTTATATGAGGTGTACAGGGTAGCCACATTTGTAGAAACAGAAGGTAGAATGGTGGTTGCCGGGGGAGAAGGAAATGGGGAGTTGCTGTTTTACAGAATTTCAGTTTTGAGAATGAAAAAGTTCCAGAAATGGCTTATACAACATTGTGAATAGGTTTAACAACACTGAACTGTACACTTAGAACTGGTTATGATGATAAATTTTGTTATGCTTTTTTTTTTTACCACAAAGAATTTCTATTTCATTTCAAATAAGTATCTATTGGTATATTTTATCTATGTTCCTAAAAAAGCTTTTAAAAAGTGGTGCTCCCGTCTTTTCCTTCAATTACACAAAAGGAGAAACTACTATACTACCTCCATTACCCTCAGTAATGCCACCTTTCTGTATGGTGTTCTAACCTTACCCATGTGATAATATATTATGCTACCACCAGTTGATTTTTTCTGAACCATGATAACTACTTCATTGCCCCTGCATTATTTTCTGATGCAGGGTAATCAACTTGAGAATCACTAACAGATTTGTTTATTCTTTGCATGCATCACAACAGAATCCTCTACAGCATCCCCAAATGCTGGAATATTTATCTACTCACTATGATCTGTGAGCAAAAAAAATACTTATAAAACCAACACAAATAAGGTTTTCCTCATTTTAAAAAATTCTATAATGTAATATTACATTTGCATTCTGTGATGTTATTTTCAATCACCAATGACTTGGTCACAATTATTCACTTCTGGGATTAAAATTCCCACTACAGACATCAGCAAATGAAACAGATATGATTTATCCAATTTTGTTTTTTCAATCAGAAATCTCTTTCAAAGCATTGTGCACTGTTATGTGCATTTCCTAATCATTCCCAGTAAAAGGAAATGTATGTAATATATGCTAACACAATAATTAAAATGACCTTAGTAAATCTTATTTTAGCATTATGTATTTTACATTCAAAGGGACCATTTACCATTTTACTTTAGCTATTTATACATTTCCTTCTCCAGGGGATCTTCCCGACCCAGGGATCGAACCCAGGTCTCCAGCATTGCAGGCAGAGCTACCAGGGAAGTCCCATTTATAAATTACTAACTGTTAACTTCCATTTATCTGTGTGTGGATTATCAATCACAGTCTTTAAACCCAAGATGATTTTTTCCTGGAATGGAGTATATTTTTAAACTAAATTCTTGTTTTCTTAGGTTTTCTTGTGTGAGTTTAGTGAATATAAGCATAGTTTATGTCATGGTACAACTTAAGTAGGACAGTAAAAAAACTGCTGAGAAAAAAGTAATAGCATTTCAAATCTAAAGAAAAATTACTTTTATATTACTCAGTACTGGGTTAGATTTTTCAAGTTTCTGCTCATTTCAATTTATATAGTAAATATGGATCACAGGCAAATTACTAAGCCCACCCAGTAAGTATAAACTTTCTAGACCATGGGGGTTTTCTGTGAATCAAGCAAAATGTCAGGCATAGAGTGGGTATAGTTTGAAAGTTGTCTCTAGATAGTATATTACCTCTCCTCTTATTTAATTGTTGTAGATAAAGGTAAGACCCGAGAATAATGAATTTAATTGTAATTTAAGAGGCTACATTACAATTCTTAAGGGGAATAAACACTTTAGGCTGTAGTAGATTATTAGGCGCTATCTCCAATTCATTTTACTTAAGATGATTTGGGTATCACTTTTCAACAAAAAGATGAAAAATACCATATACCTTATATCTCACTAGCAATAATCATTGTCTGTTTCATCCCCTTCATTGTTGGGTAGGTTTAATGGCTCAGCCTAAAACTATATATTTTAGTACAACGTCAAAGCTAAAATACAGGTCTCTTGATTTTCAGTCTAGCCCTTTTTGCTAAATACCCTGCTACTTGATAAACGGAGCGCTATTAATTGTGAGTGCTATTAATTCCAAGATTTTGGAAGCACAGGTGCATTTGAAAGTCAGTAGAAATTGCACCATAGTAACCTATTTTCTTCCCTAAATTTCTCATTAAATTTTCTTAATATAAAAAAATCAACTAATGGTGTGTATGCATAAATGTTAGTATAATAATAATTGCCAAAGAATGCTCAAACAACAGCACAATTGCACTCATCTCACACGCTAGCATAGTAATGCTCAAAATTCTCCAAGCCAGGCTTCAAAGTACGTGAACCGTGAACTNCAGTAGTCATGTATGGATGTGAGAGTTGGACTATAAAGAAAGCTGAGTGCTGAAGAATTGATGCTTTTGAACTGTGGTGTTGGAGAAGACTCTTCAGAGTCCCTTGGATGGCAAGTAGATCCAACCAGTCCATCCTAAAGGAAATCAATCCTGAGTATCCATTGGAAGGACTGATGTTGAAGCTGAAACTCCAATACTTTGGCCCCTGATGCGAAGAAGTGACTCATTGGAAAAGACCCCAATGCTTGGAAAGATTGAGGGCAGGAGTAGAAGGGGATGACAGAGGATGAGATGGTTGGGTGACATCACCAACTCAATGGATATGAGTTTGAGTAAGCTCTGGGTGTTGGTGATGGACAGGGAAGCCTGGAGTGCTGCAGTCCATGGGGTCGCAAAGTGTCAGACATGACTGAGCGACTGAACTGAACTGAATAATTGCCAACACTTATGTAACTCTTGCACCAGGCACTATTCCAAGTATTTTCCCCTTATTTCTCACAAAAATTTTAGGAAACACATTCCATTGTTATCTTTCTTTTAACAGCAGAGGAAAAAACTGAGGCACAGAGAAAGTGAAAGTGAAGTCACTCAGTCTGGACTGTTTGCCAGGCTCCTCCCTCCACTGAATTTTCCAGGCTAGAGTACTGGAGTGGGTTGCCATTGCCTTCCCCAGCAGCTCTTCCTAACCCAGGGATTGAACTCAGGTCTCCTGCGTTGCAGGCAGACGCTTTACCATCTGAGCCACCAGGGAAGCCACAGAGAAGCTAACTAATTAACTAGCTAAAGGTTCTGTAGCATATAAGTGATAGAGCTGATCTCTGGATGCAGTATATTCTGGTTCAGAATCTCCCTGTAGAATTATCTGATCACACAAATGATGCCTTGAGCCCCCTCTCACAGATATCTCAGTCAAACTAGAACACCAACTGTCCTTAACTCCCAGTGACAGTCTGCTCTGACAACACAGACTGAGTGAGATGCCTCTCCTGTCCTCTCTGTCACATAGCCCCCACCCAAGATGCTAGTCTTAATAATTTTTTTCTTTTCATTTCCCAATTAATTTTAACTCCTTGAAGCAAGGGTTACTGAAAGACTGGCACACAGTACAGTATAGGAATACAGGAGAGGTTCAATAAATGTCTGTTGAATGAATTAATGCTCTCATTGTTTGCAGGACTGCCTATTGGCACTCCAGACTACACCAAAACAGTCATATCCATGTCCCTCCACCACCGCCACTCTGATTTCAACTTTTGCAGTTCTCCACATTACTAAAACTTCACATCTCTTTGAAATACCAATAGGTATTCCCTCCCCCCCAAAAAAGTCTTACCTTCTAAATCTTCTTTCTCAAAGTGTGTTTTGAGAATAGAACGAGTTCCACCTCTATCCACAACTGCTTCTTCATCATTTCTCTGGAAGAGAGAGAAAGAAGACTAAATGATAGTACTATATATTCTCTTAATTTCAGAAAATAAATTTTAATGTCACCTGATAATTTAGAGGTCTAATTCAGTAACATAAACCTACTTGCACATGACTATTCTGTTTGATTATCAAGTGCTAGTTTACAAAAGAAAAGACTAAGATTAATTTGACCACACATTTAGAGAAGGAATGCCACTTGATTTTCCATGAAATTGAGGGCAGTCAAACATTTTAGTTGGCATCATTTGTTAGTGAGATGAAAAATAGAAAACAAATAGTTATGCTGTCAATTTAGTAACATACATTTTTATCTCTTATAAAGAATTCTTGTTAACAGGATGACATTTTGAACTGTACAAGGGAAATGTGAAAATCAGTAATATTAACACCACTAATGCTATGGCAGGGACAAATAATTCCATTGCCATTATAAACATGGTTGAGGAGAACTAACCTCTTGAAAGCAATTAGTAGCAATTACTAAATAAAGTACAACTCTAGTGACTTTGCTTCAGTACAATGCATTTTATTAAAACTAAACTGTAAATTACAATCATATGCATTAAACCTTCATTCAGTTTCTCTAAATTTTTTTACTTATTTAGAAGAATTGGACATAGGCTCTGTATTTTGAACACTGTACACATACTCAAAGCAGTAGACTCAGTGATTAGGTATTCAGTAAAATAATGGAGGAGGTGTAAGCATATTCCATATTGACCATGTAGGAATGGACAAAATACAAAATACCGAATGAAGAGAAATACAGATTATTTACAACTTGTATCTGATTGTGAACATCTATGTAAAAATTGCCTTAAAAGTGAACACTGGGCATGAAAGGAGAAATGAAAAGGTAGAATAAAGTTGAACGAATCTTCCAAGATCTATGTCTAAGCTTATTCAAGTTTATAACTATTAGAAGAGTAAAATATTTTTGTTTCTTCTTTGAAAGTCTTTTAATAGCTGATCATAATCTTAATAAAGATTCGTCCTTTTTGTTGAGCAAATCAGTACTTTCAGCTGTAGGATTACAGACGTGGAAAAAGTGAAAGTGTTAGTCATTCAGTCATGTCTGATTCTGCGATCCCACGGACTGTAGCCCACCAGGCTCCTCTGTCCATAGCATTCTCCAGGCAAGATTACTGGTGGGGTGCCATTCCCTTCTCCAGGGGATCTTCCTGACCCAGGGACTAAACCCTGGTCTCCTGCATTGCACACAGATTCTTTACCGTCTGAACCACCAGGGAAACCCAGATTATAGATATATTTCAGTCTAAAAAGATCAGCTCTCATATCCTTCAAATGCAGCAAAATATGTAGCAGAAGGACATGCTTTATGCCCTGTTGTCTTTCTGACAACTTGTGCTGACACAAGGCAGGGTAAAGTCTTTGAAATTAGAATTAAAGAAATTTACAATATAATGAGAGAAAAAATTAAAATGAAGATAGATTTCAGGACCCATTGCTCTTCTGTTTGGCAAGGTTTAAGAAAATCTGTTGGTTTAAGCAATAATAGCAATAGCCAAAGTTGAGACATATCATTTTCCTGAACCAAATAAATGCAAGCTTCAGCCTATTTTGAATCTGCTCTTGATACATTTACAAATGAAATTTATCCTCTGTGCAAGACATTTTCAAATATATGTCACATTGGAATACAACTCTGCCCTCTGGGGTGTTGTTAGGAAGAATGCCAAAAGCTAAGTCATGCATCCTTGTTCAAAGGTCAGAAAGAGCACTGTTCCACTATAACTCAAAATGGCAGTCTCTGAAAACAACTGCAAAATGGAAAGCTTTATATAGAATATATGAAGATGTTTTTCCCCATACAATAAATATTTGATTTTGACTTCAAAGACCTGAAGCAATTTTCAACTTATACAAAAGGTTTTTTTCCCCTTATTTATATAAAGCATGTATACTCTCTGTATACAAAAGATAATTCTCTTGAATAGCTAGTGTTAAGATATTGAGATAAAATAAAATTCTGCATCAGAAGGAGAAGTAGAATCTAAATAGGAAATAGCTTATTGTTTAATTACTATGCAGGTTACAAGCAGAAGTGACCTAATTTTAATTTTTCTTTAAAAGAGAAAGAACTAGAAGCTAGAATATGAATATAACTCAATGTGAGTGACTCATTTTGCAGTTTCACATTATCCTCTTTAAATATCCCTAGTTGTTCCATATTTGCTGTTAAAAATTCCCAAGATATAGATTAATGCTAATACATACACTGAAATTCCTCAACTTTGGCTATAGCTCAAAAGATTGCTTTGATATTATTCAAGACTTTTGGCAGAGCAGTTCCCTTCCCCCATATTACCAGGAGCAGGTAAACATGAGGTGTGATAATGGGAAATGCAGAGCAACATATGGCACTGGGTCCAGTCCATGTGGTAATCCCAAATAGAGCAATAAGTAAAATTTTTACTTCATCTTGAACTGTCATTATCTTTAGAATTGGTGAAAATCAGATATATATTAATGTGCCCTAATTTCCATATGTATTAATATTCACTCGTCTAGGAGCAAATTTTAGCACTGTGTTAGAGAGACAACACGTAAATATATTACACTGCCTTTCAATACAATTCACCTTTGCTATACTGTTGGGTAAACACTTTTCAGATGGTTGAGCCCAGCAAATAGTGTTTTAATTGGATAGAGGAACATGGCCCATAGTGAAAAATACATATCCCAACACAGTCACATATTCATATACATGTAATCAAAAGTTTGGCAAACTAGCATTTATTCTTACTATAAACAAGGCACTGTGATATTTTCTGTTCAAGGGTATACTACTTCATTCAGAAGTCCTAATCACTATTGATTACATTTATTTAAGGACTGAAAAATGGCTTGTGACCTGCAATTTGAAAAACATTGGTATAGACTATGACCCTGGGATAGACGAACTTATTCACACAGAAATTTCTTCTAGAATTGTTTATAAATATCATCAGCTCTGAGAGTATGCAAAAAAACACCTTTTTCTGATTTACCATGGCTCTTGAGCACAGTCATAAATGAAATAAACTTTTCTAGTTTTACAAGCCAAAATCTAACAGCAATCTTCTGGGCAGGAAAACTGAAACTTTTTCATGTCCTTTTGATAATTCTCGTCTCATCTGAAAATGGATTAATAGAGGAGAAAGCAGTTTTTTTGCAATTCAGAATTTTTTCTTCCTTATAACTATTTATCATATTTTTTTAAAAGTAACCACTTTCTCTGCCTTTTTAAAAAATATCAGATATTAGCATACTAGGTGTCCCATATATTCCCCACTAATCCCTACAGATCCACTTTCCACTCATTCTCCATGCTCTGTTTCTTTACAGACTGCATTACTAGGATCCCTTGACTTTTAGCTTCCCATAATGACAGAGGACTATAGAGTTGGGCCCAGGGAAACATGGCCCCTGTTGGACCATAGTTTGGAAATGCTGTGATCCTTTATCAAAGAACAAAGATCTTGTCATGTGACTTCTACAGCTATAGATCTCACTGGTTTGCATTAACCACTTCCTTGCTCCTTTAGGCCTAGGAGTAGTAACAGTTTCCAGCTGTTGCACATTTCTAGAATTTGATTAAACCTACTTGCTTACCCTTTATCCTGCCTACACTTTTTAAAAAAATTTTATTGGAGCATAGTTGGTTTACAATGCTGTATTAGTTTTGGGGATACAGCAAAGTGAATCAGTTATACATATATGTCTTTTTAAATTCTTTTCCAATATCAGTTCAGTTCAGTCACTCAGCAGTGTCTGATCTTTGTGATCCCATGAACCGCAGCACGCCAGGCCTCCCTGTCCATAACCAACTCCCAGAGTCCACCTAAACCCATGTCCATTGAGTCAGTGATGCCATCCAACCATCTCATCCTCTGTCATCCCCTTCTTTTGCTACCCTCAATCTTTCCCAGAATCAGGGTCTTTTCAAATGAGTCAGCTCTTCGCATCAGGTGGCCAAAGTACTGGGAGTTTCAGCTTCAACATCACTCCTTCCAATGAACACCCAGGACTGATCTACTTTAGGATGGACTGGTTGGATCTCCCTGCAGTCCAAGGGACTCTGAAGAGTCTTCTCCAACACCACAGTTCAAAAGCATCAATTCTTCAGCACTCAGCTTTCTTTATAGTCCAACTCTCACATCCATACATGACTACTGGAAAATCATAGCCTTGATTAGACAGACCTTTGTTGACAAAGTAATGCCTCTGCTTTTTAATATGGTGTTTAGGTTGGTCATAACTTTCCTTCCAAGGAGTAAGCATCTTTTAATTTCATGGCTGCAATCACCATCTGCAGTGATTTTGGAGCCCAGAAAAATAAAGTCAGCCATTGTTTCCACTGTTTCCCCATCTATTTGCCATGAAGGGATGGGACCAGATGCCTTGATCTTAGTTTTCTGAATGTTGAATTTTAAGCCAACATTTTCCCTCTCCTCTTTCACTTTCATCAACAGGCTCTTTAATTCTTCTTCACTTTCTGCCATAAGGGTGGTGTCATCTGCATATCTGAGGTTATTGATATTCCTCCCAGCAAACTTGATTCCAGTTTGTGCTTCCTCCAGTCCAGCGTTTCTCATGATGTACTCTACATATAAGTTAAATAAGTAGGGTGACAATATACAGCCTTGACGTACTCCTTTTCCTATTTGGAACCAGTCTGTTGTTCCATGTCCAGTTCTCACTGTTGCTTCCTGACCTGCATACAGATTTCTCAAGAGGCAGGTCAGGTGGTCTGGTATGCCCATCTCTTTCAGAATTTTCCACAATTTATTGTGATCCACACAGTCAAAGGCTTTGGCATAGTCAATAAGGCAGAAATAGATGCTTTTCTGGAACTCTCTTGCTTTTTCGATGATCCAGCGGATGTTGGCAATTTGATCTCTGGTTCCTCTGCCTTTTCTAAAACCAGCTTGAACATCTGGAAGTTCATGGTTATGTATTGCTGAAGCCTGGCTTGGAGAATTTT